GGATGCCCAGTATGACCTAAAGCTGACCCCGCATGCAACCTATGCGAACTGACTTCCCGACATCAAGGATTGAAAGTATTGCTTTAGTTATTTCACTCTTTTTAGTGGATTGGTTATAATTTTACCTAACAGAAGGAGAAGTTGCAATCATGATAAAACCACAGATTTCATGTGTTTTATAAATATTGATTTAGCATAGTATGTCACTGAAGCTATTGCCTTTTTTGTTGGGAAGGCTTTTCAACTCAAATAACTCAAGCAGTATTTTGACATTTTTGGGAAATGAGCTCATTTGCTTTCTTGCCAAGACTTAGTTCAGAAGATCGATACCACTCTTATTTATGTAAGGTAGATATGAGGCTACAGCTAGCCAGTTAGCTTAGTTTAGCAAAAACACTGGAAAAAGTGGGGACAGCTAGCCTGGCTCTGTCCAAAGGTAACATAATCTGCCAGCACCACAAAAGCCCACTAATTAAACATATGATATCTTGTTTGTTTAATGTGACCAAAAACTTGAGGCTAAAAATGAGAAGTACTGGTTTTATGTGGGGGGTTTGCGTGCCAAACTATTTCTTCAATGGGCAAGTATTTTCCTTAAGTCTCTACTGACAAGTACCTAAGAAACTACTGTTGCGTTTTTGTTGCTAAGGCATTGATAAAGGAACCTCTTTTACGAGGGGCATGTTGAAAAAAACATTCTTTGAAAGATACAGTATAAAATATGCCTATATAGCCTACACACAAACACACTATAATTCATTATATCTTTTAGAAAAGTTGCAGGAAGTCAATGCGCCCAGGCCTATGTCTCAGAAAACCAGATGTATGATTGGTAAAGAGTACTGCACCAGCCCAGAGAGCGCTATCTAACACTTCGGGTGGATAACAATGGGAATTTAAACAACAATACATAGTGAGGATTATTATTATTATGTATTTCATAGTTTGGGTAACACATTTTTAGTTTGGATAAATTGCTTTGTTTCTGCATAGTATTTTTATCCATTCATATGGACCATACCAAGCCCCCAGAAAGTGTGCCGGATGTTGAAACAATATTTCATAGTGGCCAAATGGTGTTAATACAATTCTTGTGTCTGTTTTTAGTTTTTTTACTAATTAAACTACCCAGGAAGAACAGTTGAATTGCCCTTTTCTAATTCATTAGATCCTAAAAGTTGTACAATGCACAATGAGACAAATCCAGAGTTATGTTCTCTCTCCTTATCCGGGAGACCAACCGCGTCAGTGTTGATTTGAGGCAGTGCTTAGCAAAAACGAACGTGTGGATGCTCTATGTGCCCAAGTCCCAGGGTGATACGGTTAAATAAATAGTCAAGAACATCACCAACTTGTTCGTATCAATGAATATTAACACCCAGAGTGGTATTCTTTTCCCACTAAACTTTTTTTCAAATGCAGATATTATAATATCCACACCAGCAGCAGTATTTGTAACACATTGATTTGGATTCCTTCAGCCTAAGGCATTGAGGCCCTATCCACACGAACCAAAGTCGTTTTCAAATGAGTCTTCCACCCACACGGAATCGGCTCAAGAAACGTGTCCGTCCACACGAAAACGCTTGAAAACGCTGGAGACGCTGTAGTACATATGCCGGGCCTGCAAGTGGCGCTGTTCTTCCGCCCCAAAATACACCAAAAGCAGCGAAGAAGACTGATGACGATTATTATTATTATTATTATATTATAATTGTTGCTGATGGTTGTGGTGGAGGAGCTGTAGATTTTGCACTCAAATCTGTATAATTGTCAGTAGCGTTTGGAGCACGAATGCAACCCTGTGATCCGCCATTGTTGTTGTGGTTATGGCGTCACCGTTTCTGGAAATGATCGTATAGAGGGCGTACACACGGAGCCGCAAGCGTTTCGTCCCCAGACCTACCCACTTTGGGAGCCGTTATCAAAGTGTATCAGATTCGGGCTCCGTATCCGCGGCTCCGATACAACTGATATCGTCTCCGTGTGAACGGGGCCTGAAGCAATTCAAGAAAGTGATCTTTCATCTTAGAACACCAGAAAACATTGATGTATTTCCTCCTATAACTGTAACTAGTCTGGAACTACAGTATAGGTGTTTTCGATTGAAGATTCTACTGTGTATGCATAGCACAAGTAGCACAGATTACAATTGTACATTATACTTTTTATTTTAGTATGTATATGTCTGCATCTCAGCCAGTGTTGGCTGTCATCAGTCTGTCAAGGTAATGAACACTACTTTACTGCAGCCTCCAACAGCTCTTTAAGGCCTACTTCACACCACCGGAGGAATACACTCAGGTATTAGTTCTTCTGCCTGGGTGCTCTGCTGGATGATGGGTGGGCGGGGATGTTATTAGGAGAATTCATCTACAAGGCTCCCCAAGCCATACTATACTGAAACTGACCACAAGACAACCCTATCATCCTCAAAGATTACCTGTCTCCTGCACTGTATATGAATGTTTTATCATAAAAGCTTTTCTTTTTTGCTAAGTGCCTCCTTGAGTGTTTGCTTTTAACTTTTGATTACTTTATGTCTTGTTGTGAAGACGAGAAAAAAGTCCCGGCCCATTTGAATATAATGGACTTAACGGGAAAGGTAGTCTCAGTTGCTTCATCGAAACGAAATATCACAGCGGTGTAATCCAACACAGTGGGTGTGAAAAAGCTCTCACAAAGTGGTCATTTCAGTGCCTTGAAGTTTTTTATCCTGACATTGTCAAAGTGCGCTGAGCAGATGGAGCGAGTCAAGGGAGAAAACAGACATGACACAATCATATAAATAAAACAGTATGGCCGGCTTTGTATGGGAGCCATATGTATAGGATGTCATGCATTACAGTGTAAAAAGACTCATTTACAACCATTAAAAGCAGCTTCAATTCACCAAATCTGCCTTTGTTGTGGTGGATCACATCTCATTTGGCTCTTTTTATATATGATATATTTTATACGATCTTGAGTCATTTAGAAGAAAAAATGTTTTTGTCATACGGTCTAGACGTTAAGGTTTCCAGCACTCAACCCCCCCCCCCCCCCCCCCCCTTCAGGGTTTTACCAGACGTCGCGTTGTGAGGGGGGAATGGTCGATTGCATAACGGAAGGCGAGACGTGATCGTTCCTGGCCTTCTCACACAATATTCAATCATTCTCCGCATACTCCAATCCCATGACGGCCCATTAAAAAGCAGCGCGGGCTAGGATTTCCCCTCATGTGTTTTAAATTGAAATTACGGTCACAAAGTCTGCCATACTGTATGCGTGAATCGAGGAAGACAAGAAGCTTGGGGAAAGGGAGATATCAAAATAGTTGGACTGAAGGAGAGAAATAGAGAGGCAAGCAGAAAGATAAGAAGGAATCCCATTTTCTCACACGTTTCCTGTTGTGTCATCCTGCCACCCACATTTGTATTAGGCAGAATGTCCAAGTGTCTTTATCTCAGTACATTTGTATAATTTCACAATACTTAAAGGGACTTTATATGACATTTATGAGAAGAAAAAAAAACAAATCTTGAAAGACTCCTCATATTTGAGCTAAATTATAATTCCAAGCAAGTCTGCTGCGTTTAAGTTTAGCACACCATAAGTCATAGAAGCCACGGGAAGAGATAAGGAAAATAGGTGAAGTGTGAGACATCAGGACATGATGATGACCCCAGATGTTCTCTGAAGAACCACTGGGATCTGAATCAGACTCTGACTGGTCATGAGTTCCTCATTCCTATGTCTCCCTATGGAGAGGAGGAAGCATAAACACACACACACACACACACACACACACACACACACACACACACACACACACACACACACACACACACACACACACACACACACATTGATGCACCTACATGGATAAGACACTGTCTCTGTGATTTAGTGTGAGGAGGATATGATGCAGACATGACTCTGTTGACCTGGGCAAACTCCACAGAGACATGCATATCTCCTCCATCTAAAATGAGGTTGAGCAATTATCCAATATCAAGATGAAAATGGTCCAGAAGTTTATGTTTATGTTCAGTATTACTTTATATTTAGGATATAAAGCTTTGTATATTTTAAACAACATCCAAATCACATTTTTATTGAACCCATATATTTTCTTATGAGTTGTTTAACAAATGCGACTTGATCCAACACATTTGGATTCTTCCGAAACGTCCTAAAGATCAAACGTCTACTTCGACTACCACTAGAATCTTGAAGCTCGACTGCAGCTGAGATGTGCACTCAGCCTCAGTTACCCATGAAGATTTTCTGATCATACAGCGACATCTAGTGGTAGTGTCAAAGTTGTGCAGGATCCCCACCTTACTACAAATCATATAAAGACTCCATTTATAGCTTCAAATATAAACCTCCTTATTTTACTATGTTATGCGAAACAGTATTTATAGGTGGTAAATAGGTATAACCACACACCAATATTTCTTAATTGTTATGTATTATAAGTATAGTCATCTTTTCTCTCAATAGCAAACCAAAGAGAACATACTTGTATATTTAAACTTGAATATAATATAAGTGTCTTCTCATGAATAAGAGACATCCACTGTTATCAATTAAATGTTGAGTTCTAGGATGATTTGACTTAACATTTCCTATAAAAATGCATGTTTATATAGGTGTATAAAACTGTGAAGTGTTGGTGTGTACATTCATTTGAGAATATAGACAATTATTTCCGAACATATTACCCTAAATATATATATATATATATATATAGATAGATATTTAATTTTAGTTTTAATCCCTGCATATACCAGTCCAAAAATGATTCATAGATATTATTTATCAACTCGGAGATGAAGTCAAACCCTTTGCAATCATAAATCTATTGGAACATATTGCAATGTTTTTCTGAGTTTCCTGATCTGTTGTGTAATGCAACATTTTAATTAGTATATATTGAGACTCAATCTAAGTATGGGAAAATACTTGAATGGTTCTGTGTAGAAAAGGGGGAAAGAGGAATGGGTAACACTTTGTTCATTCTATCTGTCTTTATTATTTGCTATTGTTTCGTCTTACAATCCCCTCTTATCTTGTATACACATTTGCCCCTTTTCAACATCTTTCTTAGTAATGTCACTTTAACCAAATACAATTAACATCATACATACGTCAACCCCTCAACTCATGAGCATAAAGTCTTCTTCTCCAGCCAACTGAAGATAAAGTGAATATTTATAATGATATGCAAAATAATGCAGCAGTGTTTTATTTGGTATTGTTGAACAGGTTCTCCATACAAGTAACAAATACAGTACAAAGCATGTACACCAAAAACAAGTACACATATTTTAGAGTGTCAAGTTAAGGCACATTTTAAGGCCAGCTTACTCCATAAATCAATAAATATTTTCTTTGAAAAATAAATCTACCATATAGCGACTCTAATAAGAGCAAATTAGTTAAATGGCATCAGGGAGTGCTACTGCTCAGTGCATCTACAATAAGTGCAAATTATTCTTTAGTGTTTAACTTAAACATATTTGTTCACTACATTGGACACTTGGTGTTGCAAGCATCACCTGACCTAAAGAGGCCATAGACACTGACCAATGGGAACATGGATACAGCACCAAGCATGGAGCCCAGCTGCACCACTGCTCCACACCACACGAGGGCGCTGTGGCCCTCGTCCCTGAGAATCACCCCGATGGTGACCTTCACGTAGGAGAGCGACAGGACAAAGAGGATCCAGGCCAACACCTGCAACACAGTTATCAATGTATCAATATAATACATTACAAAAATCTCAAACCCAAAACATGTTTTTGTAGCTATGTTAGCCTTCAGTCTTCTGTGTTTTTCTGTGAATAACTTTATATTTGTTAGGAAAAACTAATAAAACTTAGTTTAAAAAATATCTAGCATAGGAAATTCTGATTTGATAGGCCACAAGCCCAACCATAAGTCTTTTTAAAAGCTACTATACTAAACTATAGTTTTTGGACACTGATTACTGAAAGTGGTTCTTAAAAAGCCATGCTAAGACATGTTAACTTGTACCCTGTTCACTTGCTGTTACTTTTTCACCTATAGTGTGTAAGGCTATCAACCTGATAGCAGTAACATAGTCATCAAAAGCAAATACAGTCTGCAACAAATTACTGTTCAATTGGCAAACAAGTTTTGATAGTTTTGTCTTAATCAGCTCAAACAAGGTTGAGTAATTCTGCAAATAACATAGCACCTCAAGTTGTTTGAGAACTGACCATGCATGTGATTATGACAGGCATAATGTACTTTCATTCTTATATGAGGTGTAGCACTTACAAGACAGAGCAAGATATCCACATTTAACAGCTATTAGGTGACATAGTTTTTATGTGAATTTCGTTAGAAAAAAGAATCCTACTATAACTGCAGTTCCAGAGGCACTGTGGACCAGCAAGGGGCAAGGGCTAAGAGCAGCCATGGCCATATTGTAGGCTCCGAATCCTGTCCCAAACATGGTCAAGAAACCCATGAAGAAGAGAGATCTGGAAACAAAAAATGAATACATATGGTAAAACTGAGCTTTTATTTTTACACTGATCCACTTTGCTTAATAAGCTATAAGCTTAACAAACTCTAGTGACCTGTAGGAGCAACGTGTTCAAACTATGATTAATGGAGGACATCAGGTGATGTAGTATTAAGTTCAACAAAGTCTGCAGAGGAAGGGACAAACAAAGGAGGTTCTCGCAGGTCGCTGTTTCCCTTGTCCTGTATCAAGCTAAACTTCAATTTAGACTTTCATTTAAGTGACATAGCAACCAAACTTATTCAAACCACAACCATGATATTTTACAAAAATGTATCAATTAGATTTGTTTGTATTAGCCTAAACTAATATAGTAGTTTTGTTTTAATTTACAAAGTAATGTCTAATAGGCTACCCGGCACGTTGAAAAATGATGCTAAAAGGGTTCCCAGTGCATTGATAACTAGGCATTTTCAATTATGACTGAGTTGTATTTATTTAAATGCAATGTTACTGGAAGAGACATACAAATCTCAGCCTCTATATAAAATACAAATGTTAGGTAAAAAGATGGTTCTAGTAATTATTCTTACCTAATCGGCAAAAACATGGCAATGAAGCAGGCCACTGGATTGGCAACAGCTGCCATTGTGGCAGCTAGATGGTAGGCTTTGTTCCCGTAAGGCAGACAGGAGTAGGACTGGACTGAGGGAAGGATTGCATTGGTCAGAGCATTGACCCACGCTAGTACAACAAAGATGAACACCACCTCCAGATTGCTATACGTCCCCTTCCCAAAAGAGCTCTTGGCTTCCCTTTTGGATTCCAGGTGGCTGATCATAGGCTTCTGCTCTGGTGTCTGGGCGTGCAGAGACAACCCTTGCTCTCTCTTGCCAGGAGCCAGATCCCCACTGAAGTACAAGTCATTCTTTCTCTCTCGAGCCACAGATGGGTGATGGTTGAGTAGGATGAAGGCTACCAGGGAGACAACCATCATGACACTGAGGAACACGAAGAACACCTGGGCTGAGAATCGAGCTGGCTGGTAGATGGCCTGCAGCTCTCCACTGCCAACCATAGTAGCATTATCAGCCGTTTGATTGGCTACCACAGCCAAAGTGGCATTCTGACAGTGGACTAACCCAACACCTTGAGTGAGAGCCACCAAAGCAGGCACCAGCCCACTGAGGCCTTCACCTACGAAGTACGTGGTGAGGTACTGTGGACGCAGTCGCATCATGAAAGGCAGAAATGTAACAGAGGAGGTGCAGTCCACCACAGAGAGCAAGAAGGTTAACACCAGCAGGGGCACACTGTGCAAAGAGCCCCCTATTGTCATTGTCTGCCTCCAAAAGAAAGCCAGCAGGAATGTAGCAACGATCCCCAACCCTACAATGCAGTAGATGACTGGACGCTCATCTAGCACCCCTGGGCGGAAGCGGTGCATCAGAGTGATGAAGAGGGGACCTATGTTGGCCATCTGGATGAGGACTGTCAGGTACGATGGCAGATACCATCCCTCTGGGATCTCTGTTACGACCAGAGGCAGCTCCACCCACATCCCGTTGATGGCCACCCAGGAGCCCATGCCGAACAGGCACGCCAGCACGTGAGTCAGCAGCGACATAATGGAGGCTGGAATGAGGTCAATCAGGAAATGCAGATCTCGCAATCTAAAAACCGACACAAAATAGGACAGTTTATTAGTACACTGCAAATCTTCACTAAAATGGAAATAGAGAAATACCCATGTTTTTATTGAGATAATATTTTATTAAAATTGGAATAGCAGCCTTTTATTTTCAAAAACTCTATGAATGTGTTAAAAAAATGTAATACATTAGTTGTCTTTGCTAAACTTGGAGTAACAAGACATTTCAACTTTTCCCCGAATAATTGTAGTGTTTAACATTGTAAAATGTGTCTTGGAATTGTAGTTATTGCATATTTTCCTCATATTGTGCAGCCCTATCAAACACACAAACTAAAGCAGTGCAACACCTTCATTCAAATGTTATTATCATTAGCATGTTAGCAAGTTCAACCTGCTAACATGCTAATGATAATAACATTTGAATGAAAGTGTTTATCTGTAATGTTTAGCATGTTTACCACTTTATTGTTAAGCCATCTTGTATTTTAACATGTTAGCATGCTAAAAACAACTTTCACAGCCATCCATCCAATAATAGTTTGAGTGTTTTTAGTCTGGACCTATTGCTGACTGTGCCATCCCTAGGGACAAAAATCTAGCAAACATTAAAAGTGTTTCAGGATTAGTGTTCTAACTACATTATATCAAACATATTTCAATTAAGTTTCAGTAAATACACCATAGCAGGGCTAATAGTGTTACATAGTGTTACTGAGTACGACCTTCCCAGTGTCTCTGTTTTCTGCCTCTCGAAGCGATGCCTGACCTTTCACACACTGACACACTGCTACTAGGTTTAATAGAAACATGTAAGAACAAGACTTCCTTTATTTGATCTGTAGGCTTATCCTAAATATGGTTGAACCAATGAAGAAGTGCTGACTACGTGAGGTAAACATGATCAAAGTGTGTCCTGCTTTTAAATATTTGTATATGTGTAAAACCCTTGTCCTTTTTCATCCTTTTCAGGTTAGCATAATGGAGGAGAAGATTGATTGATTGATTGTTTGATTGATTGATTGAAAAGTTTATTAACAGCTTGTATATTGGGTACAGTAGAGTACAGCTCAAAACATACAATTGTTAAGGGGATGCAGACCAGAGAAAGACTTTCGTCTTGTTTACATCAGGGTCCCCCATTTCCAATTCATCATATCATTTAAGACATATAAGACATATTTGACATACAGATGGCTTATTTACAATTGTCATTTTAGATTTCGTTCTAATACATCCTAACCGGACATTTAAGACATACCAAGTCTACAGATATACAGTTAGTAACAGAGTCTAAAATGCGAGTATATACATAGATGGCGGGGGGGGGAAGCTGTCCATTGAACGACAGGTTGAGATGTGTACCATTACCGGGGCCAGTTTTGCAATGCTCTCCCCCGAAGGTGCTCTTTAAGAGAGGTTTTGAAGGTAAGTATAGTTTTACTTTCCTTTACAGTTGTGGGAAGAGCGTTCCACCTTGATGTGGCATAATTGCGAAACGTGTATTCCCCTATAAGCTATCTAGTTCTAGGATAACCAGAAAATCCAACAACCCATATTACCTTCATACATACAGGTCATCTTCATAATGTCTACAAGGTCTCAGACTATCTCATCTTACCTTGTTCAGAATATAACCAGAAAGCTCTTCTATTCCCTCTTTCCTCTCAAAAACCGTCACTCCATTGTGATCATTTCTTTAACACCGCAAGTCCCCCTATTCTCCTCCAAACACACAGCATTCACAGGCTTACATTCTGCTTCCCTGTTTCTGCTGCGTTTGACAGGGGGAGGGACTGCACAGGCGCACATGCCTTGCACCACCATGACACTTCTGATCTCCCTATACTATCGGCCTTCTATTGGAGGTCGGTTTCAAAACCAGGCAACCATGTGCTCTGTGCCTGTGGGTGTAGAAAGAGGAGAAAGAGATCAGTGAGACTAACTCCTCCTTTTCCCTTTCCCTCCCCCAACCGGTTTACGACCTTGTGGCCTGCCCTGAGCCCTCTTTTAAACACACAGTAGTGATGGGAATTATGGCTCTTTGAAGGGAGCCGGATCTTATGGCTCCGTTCCTTTCAAAGAGCCGTTCAAAAGAGCCGTTTTTTTAAAGGGGGCGGGGTTACTAGATTTATCTGCGAAATAATCACCAGGATAATGACAAATCTCAACCTGTCGTTCAATGGACAGCTTCCCCCCCCCCCCCCCCCCCCCCCCATCTATGTATATACTCGCATTTTAGACTCTGTTACTAACTGTATATCTGTAGACTTGGTATGTCTTAAATGTCCGGTTAGGATGTATTAGAATGAAATCTAAAATGAAAATTGTAAATAAGCAATCTGTATGTAAAAAACCACCTGTATGTAAATTGTAAATAAGCCATCTGTATGTCAAATATGTCTTATATGTCTTAAATGACATGATGAATTAGAAATGGGGGACCCTGATGTAAACAAGACGAAAGTCTTTCTCTGGTCTGCATCCCCTTAACAATTGTATGTTTTGAGCTGTACTGTACTGTACCCAATATACAAGCTGTTAATAAACTTTTCAATCAATCAATCAATCAATGATTGACTGTATTGCCAGACCTAATGTCAATAATCTGCATTGTAAACATGACACAAGGTGGCGCCATATCCATGTCATTCATGTCAGTAATACTTGGTGTGAAAGCGGCTATTAATGTACTACTTTGAATTTACCCTCTGTATGTGAAAAGTCAATAAAGTTGCCTTGCCTTGAATGAAATTCACGCAACTCTTAATATTAGATAGGCCTACTATGTATTTAAGTGGCGATGGAACGGAATACGCGCGAGAGAGAAGTCATAACAAGTAGGGGTAGACGCAGGGCCGCCCCTGGCCAACTTGGGGCCCCAAACGACATTGTGAGATGAGGCCCCCCCCCCCCCCCCCAACCGACAGGAGTGCAAACATTTTTTTTGGAAACAAAGTAGGCTACTTTGCAAATATAATTCCTGTTCATTATTATTATCAACAGAGTTACTTGTTTATACAGTGAGGTCAATAGTAAATGTGCATGTATGTCGTTCAGTTTGCGTTTACAGGTGAATACGTCTGTCAAATACTAGCCTCAAAAAGATTATAAAATATAATTCATGCAAATAACTACTTCTACTAATAAACATAATCATAATCAATTCAATAATATAAATACTATATTATTTTATTATAATATAGTTGTAATATAGTCAAGAAAAAACATGCTTATGACATGCTCAAAAACTGATATTTCTTAAATCTGTATTCAAATGTAGTTCCCTCTGTCAGCAATGTGTCAACAACTACACACACATTTCTATCAGTATTTATCTGTGTTGTGGTTGACATGATGATGACTATTAGGAGTTAAGGGGAGAGGCTGAGCGTCACCATGATGATGACTGTTAGGAGTTAAGGGGAGAGGCTGCATCACCATGAAATGTGAAAATTGACATAAAAATGAATAAAAGGGGAAAAAATGCTCCATGTTTTTTAGGCTGTAAACTTTGACTGTTATGTAAGCCAACTAGACAGACAGTTTATCACTCTTCCTCCTGTACATTAGCAGATAAAAGGCATGACATACTTGAATGAATGTTAAATAAAGAATGCTGGAAATAACTGCATCTCCATTAGCCTATATGCTATGCAGAGACTGCCTTCTTCATGTCGTGAATTGCAGCTGATGTTTTAATATGGCAATTGGCAATTTGACTTATACAACATTCGCAAGTTGTACATTTGACTCATACAATAACCCACCTTCGAGTGGTGCTCTAGTTTCTTCATGTTTTTTTTTGTTTCCCTCTTGCTTGCGCTGGACTGAAACAGTCTTTTCGCCGACATCTCTTCACCTGCACTAGTGGCCGTATCAAAGCCGTGATTGGTCAGATGTCGATTCATTGCAACGGTGTTGGGTTACAGACGTGCTCCCAGGGTCGGCTCTAGAACAACTTGAATGGGGGGGCAATCATTTACCAAGGGGGGGCACACACTGCCGTCAACAACCAACACACAAACACCAACGCAACTTCAATTTAAAAAAACATGCTGTAAAGTCTATTGTCTTTCACACACATTGCAGGGTGTAGTGCTATTGTATAGCGCACCTATGACTTGTGCATACATGCACGGTTGTGGCACGACCACCAAAACAGAAACATATAAGGACAGAGGGTGTCGTTTTCTCATACTGATATTCTGCACAAACTGTGCTGTTGTATTTGCTGTAAAGTGTCTTTACTGTAGGTTATTTTTGTATTATACTGTATATACAGCACTTTGGCTCGACCAAAAATCGTTGAAAAATGTGCTATATAAATAAAACTTGATTTGATTTGATATGGACATAGGCCATCATATAAAAAGTGTGCAAATGTATTTAGTATCCTATCCATGTGAACATGTTTTAGGTGGGGGTGGACCTAACCTCCTCTAGGAGGGTCTGGGGGCATGCTCCCCCGGGAAGATTATTTTTAAAATATTGAAGTTAAATGCATCAATCTGGTGCACTTTGAGAGCAAAGTGAAGAGATCTATGGATAGCCTACATCTCTCAGCATCTATATGAAACAGAACTGTACACAGATTTACTTTTTCTTTATGGATATTTCACTAATCATTCCCCTTTTAAACTGTATTCTTGTTACTGTCCTATAGTATTTCGTACCCGTTTTTCATTTATTCTCTCTTTAATAACTATAATGATCATATAAAGGTATTCCTCGAAAATACTTACATAAATGGTGACCAAACCGTTTGAGACCCACTGAGATAACTTACACTAAAGTGAACTATCTAAACACTGAGAGAGTCCTTACCTCACTGAGCTGACGTTATAAGATCCTCTCAGTCTGACAGGAGAGGACTCTCCTCCACCTTGGTGTAGAAACAGCCCTTTATATCCGTTAGCATAGCTAGCTAACCAGATGCTAACCACAACATTCCACGTTACCGCTCGCGCACTCACAAAATGCGCTCGTGCCACACACACACAGAGCTTGAATGAAACACAGAGACCCATGTACTTGTACTGTACTGTATATCATATTATTTTCGATGGCTTTACTGTATAATCAGTATAACAGATGAACAGATCGCCACTGGGCTTTCATCTAAACACTCAGTCACGTAATGATAACAAAAAAAAGGTCGGGGGTCATTGGTCAAGCAACACACCAATCAGAGAGCAGCAGTGAGCACACCTCAGGCTGTGTTTTATATTTGTATTATTTATTTCTGATGTATTTCACACAAAAAACCTTTAGTGGAAACGTTTTCACTTAGCCTATATGATAAAAAAAAGAAAAAATCGGCAAAGTGACAAGGCTTGCCCACCCTGCGTTGGGGGGGCACAGTGACTCATTTGGGGGGGCATGGCCCGCGAATGACCCCCCATGACGCCGACCCTGCGTGCTCCCCTTGTCACATCTCACTCTCGCGTGTCAGCGGGGGGTGCGCGGAGAACTGCGCGGAGAACTGCGCACAGCAGCTGAGGCCCTCTGGGCGGGGCCCCCTGCGCAAGGCGGGGCCCCAGGCAGCCTGCGTGATTGGCCTGTAGGGAGGGGCGGCCCTGGGTAGACGACGTGTTTTTCGGATAGAAAATGAGCCAAACGCAGCAGCATTTGGATGCACTTCAACCAAAATCCAGGCAGTGATAAAGTGCACCATTTGTAAAGGCAACATATCCTTTAAAGCAGGGTCAACAAATAATCTGCCCATCTCACTCCTCGTACCGAAACCTATGGCTGAAACCTACCAGAGTAGGGGCGGGTCTTCACAGAATACGTTTGGGGAGCAAAATCAAGCTTTTTAAAAGGCGAGTGGATTTTGGCAGGCAGTGAGTGCGGATCAACGATTGAACGATAAAAAGAACGGCTCTCACCAAGTACGACTCGGTTCCCATCGTTCGTACCAAAGAGCCGTTCAAAAATAATCGGCTCGTTCGCGACCGACACATCACTAACACACAGGCTACAGAGTGAGTTGAATGAGTGCACCGGCTTTGGTTTCACACTCAATAAAGACAAGATATTTGAAATCCCACACTGACTTTCCTTCGTGTTCGCTGTCCTTGCCTAAGTGAATGGCCTGCTCAACCTATAGTGTCCTCTTACTGTGCCAGCAGTACAATTGCATAAACGAGTAGGTTGCATCATCTTTGTTATGAAACTATTACATATCTGAAAAGACCAGCATGTAAAGTATAGGCTACATGTCGAGCATATAGGTCTAAGGATAGAGGGTGTCGTTTTTCTCATACTGATATTCGGAACAATCTGTGCTGTTGTATTTGCTGTCTCTACTGTAGGCTATTTTTATTATATGTAGGCTACAGCACTTTGGCTCGACCAAAAATCGTTTATAAATGTGCTATATAAATAAAACTTGATTTGATTTGATAGTCTCAAACACACACAGTTGTTACAAAATTACTATCAGGTCAAGTATAGTGGTATTCTGGTATCCATATATATTTTTCTTCACATAACCTACTTTGAATTTTCATGATATTGTGTCACACTTTATATTTGACATGTGTTATTGCATCGTACTATAGGCTACTATTATTTTATAATTTAATGTTAAAATATAATAAATCATATTTATGGAAATACTATACCATTTTGTTGTTTGTTTTTTTCAACATAAATAAACTATTTCGTTATAGTATGTGTTTTTATCTGATATTATCGATTTACTATTATAAGTTGTTTTTTTGTATTTTCCACATACTATACTGTGTAATTTTAATGTGTTTTTTTATGTAATATCCTATGTTATTTATT